TGTCCATCGCCTCCTCCCTCAGCTCACTACACCCTCTTAGCATGTGTTCCAGCATGTTCCAGTCTTTTCCCTTCATCATCGCCCTTCATCAACAGATACTTTGGCAATTCCTTCCCATATCTGTGACCTTCTCTCATTCCTCCGTTCTTTCCACATTTCACCTTTCTCCACTCTTCTATTGCCGATCCCAGTTATTGAATATCCCACTTTCCTATAATATCCTTCCCTATCTCCCTGCCCATATATCAACCTCCTCTCCTTGATTTCTCTCCAACACTATCTCAGGATCCTGCAATGCGGTCTTCTCTCTATCCTTTCCTCGTATTTCACTGCTCTTCTCCTAGCCTCCACCCTTATTAAGTCCATCTTAACCTCTTCCCTTACTATATACCGTGGAGTTTCCGTTGCCAACTGTAGTACCCATCTCCAATACCTTGTTGTTCCCATATCTTCTATTCTAGTTTGGGTCTGATGGCTTCTATTATACGGTTCATTAGTAGCTTGAACAAGAACGCACTTAGTGAATCACCCTGTCTAACTCCTTCGCTCACAGATATTTCTTCCCTTATACCTATTATTTACGCTGGTACATTTTCATCTTCGAATATATTGATAACGTCCTGTTTCTTAACTCGATCAAAGGCTTTAGTCAAGTCGACGAAACAGAAAAAGGCGAGATTATTAAATTCTATTGATCTATTGGGTCTAATACCAATTTAGTGTATTTCAGCTCAGGTGAATTTTGTTACAATTGATGCAACTAGTAATATATAGATAATAATAATTCAAAAAAGATTTTAAAAGGCAATAAAAACTGCCAACATAAACTACAACAAGAAAAAGAGACTTGATTTTGTGAGAGAAAGAGAATCAATGGTTGTAAACTTATAAAAGAAAAAAATAAGGCAAAAACCCACCTTTATACTTGTATGCTAAAAAAAGTTGTTCAAAAAGAGTTAGAGACAGGAAAACACCTGAAAAGACTAGATGTTCGTATTTGCAACAAAAATGTTTTTGCATACATTAAACAAAAAACTAAATCGGTTTCAATGCTATACTCCGCCAAACGACTTAAATTGACTTGGGTTGTGTTTCCTTGCGCGGCACATACTACAGCAATTTAAAGAACAGGATCGGAGCGAGTAAGTTGCGAAACTGATGGGTAAAACGAATATAAGAGGAAGAGAAAACGGGAACTAGATGAGAGTTTTGGTAGGAGTAAATTAACAAAGCCTACACCAGCCAAGTAAAGTGAGGATAACTTACGAAGATATTACGTAGCGACACTGATAGGGAGGGTGAACGTAAAGAGTAACATGTCAAAAAATATACAGAAACAGAGGATACTGGGGGAAAAAATGATTAAAATGTAGTACTCATGGCCAAAAATTATGAACTGATAGAGGAAATGAAGCAAGTAAGGGAAGAATATAAGGAAGCAACAAGCGGATACTTGAGATAAAGCTAACTCAAAAGGTGGAAATGTTATAAAAGAATAACCGAAATTTCTTCGAAACCAGTCGCGCACAGCTCAATGTGACAATATAATAAGCAAAATAAAAGCCATGATATTTTCCAAAGAACCAGTCAGGTACAAACTAACAATTTGGTCAAACCAGTACATACGAACAAATAATAAATAAAAAAAATTAGAAAACTTGCATATGCCTCATTATGACCTACGGTATAAAGGCCCGTGAAGATACCAACAAGATAAAAAACATGCTGAGGGTTGCTGAAATTGAAACTTTAAGGCAAAAGGAGAAGAGACAAAATAAGAAACATTAACATCCGGGAACACTGCGGGATACAGGACGTTGTACGATGGAGCAGACTAGACAACTGCATATGGAATGGAGGAAAACAATGGAGAGGAAAAACCAGGAAAACCAAAAAGATGCCAAAATGTCTCCTAGAAGGTGAACTACTAGCTGTTCACCTCGCAGGACATCATCTCACATTGGTTTCAAAATAATCCGACAGGTCTAAGAGAAAGAAGAAGACCGAAACTTAATAATTTAACTCTCCAATACTTGAATGACATGACCTGTTCTATTTGGTCTGCTGAACTAGCTTACATTGAAATGGATGTTTCGCTGTTGACACGCATTTAGTTTCTTGAGCTGCTACGGACAAGTTGAATTGTTTTACTATGTTGTTGAAGAGTTGTCAGCATAACATCAGCATAATAGAGAATAATAAATTCCTGGTCACCCATTTTGTTCTAACGACATTCGTTGGTATTCCGCGGCTGTATGGCAGATTTATCCTTTAATGTGATCTTGTGATACTAGCTGTTCACCTCTCAGGACGTCTTCTCACATCGGTTTCAAAATAGCCCGACAGGTCTAAGAGAAAGAAGAAGACCGAAACTTAATAATTTAACTCCCCAATACTTGAATGACATGACCTGTTCTATTTGGTTTGCTGAACTAGCTTACATCGAAATGGACATTTCGCTGTTGACACGCATTTAATTTTTTGAGCTGCTATGGACAAGTTGAATTATTTTGCTATGTTGTTGAAGAGTTGTAGATTTCATTAGCATAACAGAGAATAATAAATTCTTTGTCACCCATTTTGTTTTAACGACATTCGTCGCTATTCCGTGGTTGGATAGCAGATTTATCCTTTAATCTGACCTTGTCAAATCAACTAAACATAAAAATGCTGATTTATTATATTCTATTGACTTTTCTTGTCTCATTACGAAAACAGCATCTGTACAGAACCTTCTTACCCTAAGACCTTGTTGTTCTTCGGCCAGGCTTGTAGTGGAATTAATATTGGTTGTCACCAATTTGAGCATAGTGTTGAGTAACTCTTTCTTTGAATTTTAGTATCATTGTACTTGTTTTCCATGCGTTTGGTATCTGTTGCTGTGTTAAGATTTTGGTTATCAGTGATTTTATCTCTGTTATTAAACTTTTCCCTCCATATTTTGAGACTTTATCTTAACCTGGTGATTTTCGATGTTTCAGTTTTCTTCTCTCTAACATTTTTTGTTGTTATTATAATCTCGTTATTTATTGTGATGTTATTTGGTTATTTGGTTTAGTCACTTTTGTCTATTCTTGTGACAAGTATCCACATTTGCTACTCTAGGCCGTAAAAATTTTATTCGATCCTTTTCAACCTCCATTCCACCTTCCTTCTTCTCCCCCCTTTCCTTTTCTTTCTTATTTTGGTCCATTTTATTACATCCTGTATGTTACATACGGTTACATACGGATACATCTAATAGAGGTGTTGGTCTGCCTATCTGCTGTCGTCTTGGTACCATATGTTAGTATGGGTCGTACCATGGCTTTATATATTTTCATTTTTCTTTCTACACGCTTGTATTTGTTCCGCCATACAGTATCCCTTAGACAGCCTGCCACTACTGTCGCTCTTGTAACTTGTGCTTCCTTACATAGATCTTGATAGCTTGTAATTTCTACACTTAGATATTTAACATGCAGAACTTCTTCTATTATAGAGTCTTCAACCTACTTTGGACCGTCTTGGTTCTTTGGATATTACCATACATTGTGGTTTCTCCGTTGATATTTACATATTGTATTGCTTAGCTGCTATGTTGAAGTAATACACTAGTCTTTGCAGGTCATTTTCGTTACTTGCAACCAAACGGCGTCGACGGCATTGCAAAATATGTTAACATTTTGGGTCCCATATCTTGTATCCTAGTTTGGATCTGATTATATGGTTCATTAGTAGGTTGAACAAGAACTGACTTAGTGAATCCCGGCCCTAATTCCTTCGCTCACAGGTATTTCTTCGCTTATGCCTTGGGTAGTCCTTATTTTAGTAGTATTATTGGTGTATATGTCGTCTACTATGTCTATTATTTATGCTGGTACATTTTCATCTTCTAATATATTCTCTCTAACATTTTTTAGTGTTATTGTAATCTCGTCATTTATTGTGATGTTATTTGGTTTATCTTTCTGTATGTTGTCGTCCTTAAACACTTCTGGTAGATACTTTATCCAAGTATTTTCCTCATTTGTTTCCTCTGTATCAACTCGTTTACCATTTTTGTCTATTCTTGTGACAATTATCCACATTTGTTACTCTAGGCCATAAAAATTTAATTCAAACCTTTTGGAAAAAGTTTCTCTTCATATTTTATTTTAATTTCGTTTCTAAACCTCGGAGTCTTATTTTGTTATCAGCAATCCGTATCAAACCTATTTTTCTAGAAACAATTTGAATGTATAATAAAAACCATACTCCGAAGTACTTATGTGGTTAGCATCTTGAATATATATTATATTAAGAAAGAAAAGAAACTGACTTTTTGACGCACACTGTATACTTTAAATTATATACTTTAACTTTTGTAAAATTGAGTTTTCTTGTATCACCGATGATATGTCATATCTCATCGTATTGAGGTATTTTTTAGATTTGTCTCTTAAATTCTAAAAATGAAATAAAGTTGAATAAATAAGTTTAATTAATTTTTTGTAGTGAGTGAAATAAAGTTTAAAAATTCCTCCACGATAATATTAGGTTGCTACTAAATCTTTCTAATAGTTAACATAATTAATTTTGTGTAATTTTTATTAAAAAAGAAAATTTCTTAATCTATTTTGTAGAGTTAGTAAGATCTTTTTTTTGGAATATTAATATTGCTCTGTGCAAATCTGAGTTATCTTAAAGATTTATTTGTAAAAAATGTTGAGCAGTAATAACCGAGTTTATAAACAACATTATCTTTTACAAACAACCATTATTTTATTCGTATTTCTTTTTACTACAAACTAATCTAATTTTTATGTGGTTTTCTTGACGATTTTTAATTTTAAACGTGCTACATATCTTTCGTTTGATTAATTTTTAACTTTTGATGTTTATAATTTATAACATGTATTAATTAAATTATTTTTAATTCAAAATAATAACCAATAAAGTCGTTTCTTAAAAGTTTTAGAAATATATTAACAGTTTTAAATTATTTTAATAAATTAAAATGAATTGTAATATATTTTTTTAATAATATTAATTCTTTTTTGTTTTATCAAATTTTTACCCTGTATATATTAATACTGTAATAATACGCAACCTATATTTTTTCCCTATTCTCGTTTATTCTAAAACGTTTTACCCCGAAAATCAAAACTAAAAGCGTTTATAATAAGTGTAACTTATTCATTCATGTTGTTTAATTTTGTTTAAAAACTATTTTCTTGTAGCGACTCATCTATGATCTTTTAAACGTATATACAATAAAAATACGTCCTAAGTTTCATTGAATTGACTAGTTCGGTATTATTTTCACTCATTCTTTCACTTCTAACCCCCTTTCTACTCCATCTTTACTCTACCTTTACTCCTTTATTCTTTTAATAAACTAAAGTTATCTACCCAAATAAAATATTTTTATTATTATTTAGGTACTTTTCTTTTCGTTTTAAATGTTCGAGGTGATATAGTTTTTTTTTGTGGACGAATTTGACGGAAATGGAAACGTGTCTAAATATTCAGATTTTCTTTATGACTTTTTCGAGGTGTTTTGATAGAAAATTGGACGTCTCCATGGCCGCTAATCGTCCATTACTTCCATGCGGAACACTTTTCCAAGTCGATTCATGCTCACCTTGGGGTTGTCTTCGTCGCTGTCGTCGTCGTGGTAATCTGGAAGACGGTCCACATCGCTATCGTCATCCAGCTGAAACATAAAACAAATTCCAAAATGAATTAATTAATAAAATCAAAAATATAATATACAGCAAAACCTCGATATGACGGACCTCGTTAGAAAGAACGTCGGATATAATGGACAAAATATTTTTAAGTATATTTAAATATAATTGTGTTATAATAGCTCTGTTCCATGTTCTTAGATAAACTCAGGGTAATCCCCGAGTTGTCTACGCGATGTATTAATCAAGGACGATTGTATATTTATATTGAACTAAAAGTAGAACTAACACTAGACCTAGAACTAGAATTCAATCAAATTGTTGAGGTTCAAACTCAAACCGGCGTTAAATGTAAATGATATGAAGATTCAACTTTTTATTCTAACATTTATAATAGACTATTTTTCCAAATTAAGTCATGTATTGGCACGGTTTCTATCCTGGGCGTTCTGTTCAGACCAATTTGTTAGAGTATACTGATTTCCTTTTTTCAACTCTTTATCTTTATAAGAACGTTCTGGTGGATGTTATTTACACTGACTTCAGCAAAGCTTTTGATAAAGTTGATCACAATTTATTATTCTTAAAGGTGGAACACGTAGGTGTTGTGGGTATATTGTTAAAGTGGCAATGTATGTAGTGTGATTAGTGGGCACTCGTCTGACCATATTATTATGACTTCTGGGGGTACCTCAAGGCAGTCATTTGGGACCGCTTTTATATACCCTCTACATAGGAGATATTGCTAAATCTTTTCCTAACTCTTGATATGTATCGATCATGTAGGGATCTGACATGTATGGATCAACAACGTTGATGAAATTGTGGCTAGAGCTAATAGGATGCTGGGATTCGTAATCCGAATCTTTTACTAACGCATTGCTTATAATTTCTATGTAATTCTAACTTCTCGTAAATATCATTATGCATTTGTAAATAGTAGTTTTTGTTTCGGAAGTACTATTTGGAATCCTAACTATGATGTTTATAGTAATAGAATAGAGAGAGTTCAGATTAAGTTTCAGAAATACCTTTCCTATCGATTCCATCATCCTTATACAGATTATTTGTCTGTATCCCAAATCTATCTATCATTTTGTTAGCGATGGCAACTACGACATTCTTGGCTTGAGTGAGGTCTGCATTTCGGTAATTGTCAATAAGATGCATATGGCTGTTGGAATTGTCTATAGACCTCCAACATTTAACTATTCTTGTTTTATTGATATCATTGAGGATACATTGTCGGATATTTTGCCAAGATATGATAAGGTTGTTCTGATGGGTGATACAATCAACATGGGCATGCTGACACACTCAGTTGTGGTTGATACCTTTTTTGAATATGATCTCTTCGGTTGGCTTGTGTCAGTTGATAGATGTGCCTACCAGAATTACTGATTCATTCCAAACTCTTATAAACGTTATTTGCGTTTCAGACGTTGACATTGTGCAGCAGAAGGATGTATTGATGAATTAATGTATTGTGAAATTAGGTGTTGAGTTCCAAAGAAATATCCACAAATTAAAACTTTTCGTTCTTTAAAAAATTTTAATTTTAATAACTTATTATAATTTGCAACAATTTCCATTTTTTAATATGTTTGATTATGATAATATTAATGATAAAGTCAATTTTTTTAACTCATGTTTATTGTCGGTTATTAATGAACACATTCCTATTAAGCGTTGCAGATTTAACAGGGCGCCAGCCCCTTGGTTAACGGACACTGTTAAGCTTATGTAGTGAACTAGAGACGATGCTTTTGCAAGGTTTAAGAGGTGCGGAACCAAGGTGGCTTGGCAATACAATAAGAATATGAGGAACGTTACCAATTCAGTAATAGATAGGGAGAAGAAGGCCTTTCTGGAGCATCGGATGCAAGGGGTAAACAAAAACACTTGGAGAGTCTTAAGTTCATTAGGTGTACATAATTCAAAATCCACCGTGATACCTGCGAGTCTTTATCGTCCAAATGAAATCAACAGATTTTTTATAGACTGTATCTGATAATGTGACTAAGCTGAATGATGCGCTTTATCATTTTTATCTAAATAATAGACTTGTTCAGTCAACATTTTCCTTTAGTCACGGAGTGTGATGCGCTTCAAGAAATGAATTTTATAGCGAATTTTGAAAGTTATACATGAAAATTGCAACATCGAAGATTTTATTAAAACTTCAAATATTGCTTTCTCAAAAACTAAGTTATTTTTCAAAGCGGGTTTGTTCATTGGAAAGAGGACAGTTTTACTAACACTCTGGGAAATTTTCATACTCATATTCCAAGAACTGGATTTCATACGAATTTTTAAAATTGCAAAATTCAAAAAAAATTGTCAATCATTTCAAAAATCTATTTCTCAAGAACTGAAAGTGATTTTTCAAAACGATTTTTTGCATTAAAAAGAGGATACTTTAATTAATAATTGGTGATATTTCCACAAGGAACCTCCATGAAATGAATTTTATAGCGAATTTTGAAAATTATCGATAAAAATTGCAACATCGAAAATTTTATCAACACTTCAAATATTGTTATCTCAAAAACTAAAAGTTATTTTTCAAAATGAGTTGGTTTATTGGAAAGAACACACTTTTATTAACATTTTGGGAAATCTTCATACTTATATTCCAAGAACTGGGTTTTATACGAATTTTTAAAACTTAATCGGCGAAATATGCAAGATTCGACAAATATTGTCAATTATTTCAAAAATTTTTTTCTCAAAAACTACAAGTGATTTTTCAAAATGGCTTATTGCATTAAAAAGAAGATACTTTAATTAATAATTGGTGATATTTCCACAAGGATCCTTCAAGAGATTAATTTTATAGCGAATTTTCAAGTTATCGGTGAAAATTGCAACATCGAAAATTTTATCAAAACTTCAAATATTGTTTTCTCAAAAACTAAAAGTTATTTGTCAAAACGGGTTCATGCATTGGAAAGAGGTCACTGTTATTAATATTTTGGGAAATTTTCATAGTCATATTCCAAGAAATCGATTTTATACGAATTTTTAAAACTTAATCGGCGAAATTTCAAAATTCGAAAAAATTGTCGATAATTTCAAAAATTTATTTCTCAAAAACTACAAGTGATTTTTCAAAACGGCTTAGAACGAAACGGCTCTAGCGATCTTAGATAAACTCTGGGTATTCCCCCAGTTGTCTACACGATGTATTAATCAAGGACGGTTGTATATTTATATTGAACTAAAAGTAGAACTAATACAAGACCTAGAACTAGAAACATTCATGTTTAGCCGTACGTCTCTTAAGACGTACGGCAAAAGAGACGCAAGTTGATCAAATTGTTGAGGTTCAAACTCGAAGTGGCGTTAAATGTAAATCATATACCATTATAGGCTATATGTTGAGACGGCGGCGTTCTAAATATCTTATCACACAGGACCATAAAACTTATTTAGTTCATGTTCAAGATTCGATTGCCTCTGACGCTAAACGTTGTCCGTNTTTCAAAACGGCTTTTTGCATTAAAAAGAGGATACTTTAATTAATAATTGGTGATATTTCCACAAGGATCCTTCAAGAAATTAATTTTATAGCGAATTTTCAAGGTATCGATGAAAATTGTAACATCGAAGATATTATTAAAACTTCAAACATTGTTTTCTCAAAAACTAAAAGTTATTTTTCAAAACGGGTTGGTTCGTTGGAAAGAGGACAGTTTTATTAACAATTTGGGAAATTTTCATACTCGTATTCCAAGAACTGAATTTTATACGAATTTTTAAAACTTAATCGGCGAAAATTGCAAAATTCAAAAAGTTGTCGCTCATTTCAAAAATTTATTTCTCAAAAACTAAAAGAGATTTTTCAAAACGGCTTTTTGCATTAAAAAGAGGATACTTTAATTAATAATTGGTGATATTTCACCACATTCACAATTTCACAAGGAACCTTCAAGAAATGAATTTTATAGCGAATTTTGAAAATTATCGATGAAAATTGCAACATTGAAAATTTTATCAACACTTCAAATATTGTTTTCTCAAAAACTAAAGGTTATTTTTCAAAATGGGTTGGTTCATTGGAAAGAAGACACTTTTATTAACATTTTGGGAAATTTTTATAGTCATATTCCAAGAAATCGATTTTATACGAATTTTTAAAACTTAATCGGCGAAAATTGCAATATTAGAAAAAATTGTAGATCATTTCAAAAATTTATTTCTCAAAAACTAAAAACGATTTTAAAACGGGTTTGTTCATTGGAAAGGGGACACTTTTATTAACACTCTGGGAAATTTTCATACTCATATTCCAAGAACTTGATTTTATACAAATTTTTAAAACATAATTGGCGAAAATTGCAAAATTCGAAAAAATTTTCGATCATACGGGCAGAAAGACCCTGGTCGGCAGCACTATTCTCACCACTTCACTTTTTTATTTTTGTTGTATATACATATAGATATTTGTATTGTTATTCTTATTTTTTTATGTAGTGGGTACAGAATAAAATTTGTTTTTCTTCTTCTTGTCGATCATTTCAACAATTTTTTTTTCAAAAACAAAAAGCGATTTTTCAAAACGGCTTGTTACATTAAAAAGACGATACTTTAATTAATAATTGGTGATATTTCCACAAGGGTCCTTCAATTTTATAGCGAATTTTGCAAGTTATCGATGAAAATTGCAACCATGCAATTTTTATCAAAACTTCAAATATTGTTTTCTCAAAAACTAAAAGTTATTTTTCAAAACGGGTTGGTTCATTGGAAAGAGGACACTTTTATTAATGACAAACTTGATATAAATAAAGTTGTATTCAATGAAAAAAGTCCTATTGGGGTTGAACTTGATTATTATCTGCAGTGTCCAACACCTAAAGAGATACTAATTCCTGTGAATGGTGGAGTACTAAGTAACAGGTTTTTAATATCCCATCAAAGCCGGATAGTTGCCGGAAATCCGTTCCACCACTACTCTTTTCCATGTTCTTAGATAAACTCTGGGTATTCTCCGAGTTGTCCACACGATGTATTAATCAAGGACGGTTGTATATTTATATTGAACTAAAAGTAGAACTAACACAAGACCTAGAACTAGAAACATTCATGTTTAGCCGTACGTACGTCTCTTAAGACGTACGGCAAAAGAGACGCAAGTTGATCAAATTGTTGAGGTTCAAACTCGAAGTGGCGTTAAATGTAAATCATATACCATTATAGGCTATATGTTGAGACGGCGACGTTCTAAATATCTTATCACACAGGACCATAAAACTTATTTAGTTCATGTTCAAGATTCGATTGCCTCTGACGCTAAACGTTGTCCGTCATGACGGACAACGGAGTAACATCAGAGTAAACGCCGCGGCGTTTACTCTGATAATGGGGAAGAAGTCTGTGCTCTTTTCTCGGATTACTTCGGTTCGGTATTCATACAATCAGTTAACAATAATAATAATAATAATAGTGACTTTATTCATACCTATCAATGCAATAACAAATCAACAATTTTACTAAATATATTAGAAACATAAAATAAATAGCATATAAGGTATGAAAAGGCGAAGTTCAGTGCCTAAGCACTGCTCAACTTAACCCGAAACTAAACCTAGATACTCGTACAGTAATTGAAAAGAAAGAGAAAAAAACAAAACAAAAATTAAATTAAATAAAACATAAGAAGTAAATGCGGACATTTTGTCGTACTTGTAGTCATTTCAGCGCTGCCATTAGTCGCAACAATTAAGAGTTTAACTGAGCCATTTGTTAATCAAATACGTCACCAAAAATATGCTTTTTAAAGCTGGACATGCTTGCCAGTTGGATTGTTTCAGAGGGTATATTATTGTACACTTTTACAATTTGATAGTGAAAACTCGTCTTGAATAGTTCAGTGTGGTGAAAGGGCGGTGATTCAGAGTCCCCCTGTTGAGATTCAGGGGGACTCTGAATCTCAAATTCAAATTGTGAACATCAGTGCGGTACTGAATTTTGCGACACAGGTTTTCCCTCTGAACAATATTATGGTAAAAAACACAACTGTGGAGAAGTCTCCTATAAGACATATTAAGCCATTTAAGTTCCCCTAATTTATATGAAATTCTTTCAAACCTTCCAACGCCAAAAATAAATCGCAAGCAAGCGTTCTGTGCTCTCTGAATCCGTTGTTCATCGAACTTAAGTAAACATTGTCCATACACAACATCTCCAAAGTTAAATTTAGATAAAATCAACGTGTTGCAAAGTAAGGTTTTAGTTTTAACGTCAAGAAGATGACGAGACGGGTAAAGAGATTTTAACTTGGCATATACTCCTTGTAGCATAGTAGACACGTGCTTTCGAAATCGCAAATTTGTATCCAATACCAGACCCAAATTGCGCGCCTCCGTCACAATAGGGAGAGTAGTATCGTTGAGTACAACCCGGATATCCCCACTATACCGCTACACATCCACCCCACGACCAAATACCATAACCTTTGATTTGATGGGATTGAATACCAAGCCATGTTGGATGGCAGCTAAAACAAGTTGTCTTAGCTCTGTATTCAAAAAGTTAAGGTAGTGTTGTTGTTCTTGCGGCTTGTAAGATATGTATACTTGCGTATCATCTGCATAAAAATGTACTTTGCAATGCTTAAATATGTTATTTAATGGCGCTGTGTAGATTGAAAACAAAGTTGGGGAAAGCACCGAACCCTGCGCCACGTCCGCCTTGAGCTGTCGCACCGTGGATCGATGGATAGGCAACTGCACAAACTGTTGTCGACCACTCATGTCAAGGTCCGTTGAGTATTGGTTATAAGGTTATCCAACTCGAACAACTTGACGTTGGCGGGGTGAGGTGGGAAACGTGACGTCATTGGAGGAAAAATATAACATAATATGATATAATATAAATTTAATATAATATAATAATAATATTTATGTTAATAATTATTTAAAAATTAAACAAGTGTTATTAAACTCAAGAAATAAAGAGTTCCTGTTGGTTTACGTATATAAATGAAAACAGAAATGACAATTCTTCCAATGACGTCACAACATGGCCTTTGTCTATGGGCCCTTGCGGAGGGGATACGTTCATAACAACAGCGTTCATAGGGAGTTGGATAATCTTATACAGTATGTTTACTCGACGGACCTTGCACTCATGTAGTTTTCAAAGAAAGAAATCGCTGAAGCGTCTAATACCGTAATATTTAAGAATTGTTAGTAAAAGCTTATGGTTTACCGTGTCAAAAGCCTTTGTGTAGTCCAACAAGATAAGAATGGTCATATAACCGCTATCTGTCGCACTTAATATATCATCGGTGACACACGCTAAAGCAGTAGTACAGCTATGACCATGCCTAAACCCGGATTGAACGTTTGGCAGGATCTTGTTTACTTCGACGTGTTGTTGCAATTGTACATTAACAATTTTTTCTGAAACCTTTGACATTATGGTTAGGATACTAATTGGACGCAGGTCAGACGTGAGAATTGGATTCGCTACTTTCGGTATTGGAAGCACAACCACCTGTTTCCATGCAGTAGGGAAAACGTCGTTTTTAATACAAAAGTTAATAATATGGGTGATGTAAGGCAATAAAAATGGCATACAGTGCCTTAACAAATTAACAGATATTTCGTCAGACCCAATTGCATTAGATCTAATTGATTGCAGAACACTGAAAATGTCATCCTCCACACCGCTGACAGTTTAAGAGAACTACTTAAGTTTTCATTTAGTTATTGGTGTATATCTTATTATATAGTTATCTGCTATATAAACTTATCTGGATGTACCAGTAGAGGTACACAGTCTTGATTATATCGTGTCTTGTGCATCAAATAGGTTGCCATATAGAGTGGGAAGTAATGCTCTGCATTAGTGGTGGAACGGATATCCGGCAACTATCCGGTGTCCGGCCTATCCGCCTATTTATTAAAATCCGGATACCGGATAGTTACCACATATCCGGATATTAAAAATCTATTACTTAGTACTCCACCATTCACAGGAATTAGTATCTCTTTTAGGCGTTGGACACTGCAGATAATAATCAAGTTCAACCCCAATAGGACTTTTTGATATTCGGCCGAAGGGGATGCCGAATATCCGGTATCCGGCTTTTCGCAAAATCACTATCCGTTCCATCACTACTCCTACACCTATATAGTGCACAAAACAATAAATGGCAAGGTAGCAAAAAACAGCTTGGCACTCGACCTATTAAGTGACGCACAGCTAAACCCGATGTTTCTAGTTTTAGATCTAGTGTTAGTTCTAATGCTAGTGTTAGCTCTAGTTTTAATTGTTATTCAGCGTTAGATTGTTGTATATTTTTTATTGAACTAAAACTAGAACTGTTCGAATTTACTATTGATGCGAACAGTTTAAAGAGCAAATTAAAAATTTTTCATATAACGGACTTTTATTATTTTTATTTTCCGTTATATCCAGGTTTTACTGTAATTATGAATAACAAAACGTATAAAAACATGCATTTCTTGTAAGTTAATTCCAAGTTAACCAAGTCTTTTAATCGATATCTTCGGCCTAGTTTTAAAAGTAATTACCATTTAAATGAAGATTAATTTAAAAATAATTGTATTTCTATCATGCATAAAATACTAACTCATGCAAGAAAATCCCTAATTTACTTACATTTACACCTCAAAATCGCCGATAGTAAATTTATTTTTGTGTGTATTTGTAGCAGTGAGACAAGGACCATCTGGACTGGTTAATTGCTCCTGTCCCAATTGAATACGAAAAATACAAAAAACAGAAAAAAGTACACAGTGTTAGAGCCAAAAGCGGTCGATTTGTGACGATTTAAAGTCGTTTTTTTGTTAGCACAATTAAGTTAGTGACACATTTTCTTTAACAACTAAATGAATGATTTATTTTTCCCACAAATACATCAAAAAATAATTAAAAGTAAAGAAAAAGGGTAACTTACATCGACGTCTGTAATCATTTCTTTGGTTGAAACTGTTGTTTCAATACGTCTTATGGATCCTTCGTGGATGTTCACGTCGAATTTCAAACATTGGTATCTTCTTAGGAGGAAAACGATTGGAATTGGGAGAACTCCAGCAAATATCATTGTAATTGCTATTCCCATTACCCAATTTGGATATTGAGTACTCACACCTTTGCCCTTAAAAAATATACAACGCCATTAAAATTGTCTATCAAGAAAGATTAACCACAATATTAAGTTTACACCAATACTAAGCATTTAAATTTATTTTTGAAATACAAAGATTTCTTGAAATACTACCGATATACGTATATTATAGATATTTTTTGAAAATTAAAAGTTTTCTTAAAACTGGATGAGGTTAAATTGTACCAAATTTTAATATTCCCTGGTGAATATATATATATTAATCATTTTATACGAATTTTATTAAGTTGTTTATTTAAATTAACTTGGACGCTCAAATGTTAAGTTGTCTCGGTTCTTTTGTATGGTGTAAAGACTTGGACCTTCAATGTGTATTGCGAGCTACTGCAGGATGCTGAAAATATCATGGACAGAACATATAACCAACATGGAAGTTCTGAGAAGAATGAAGGAGGACACTGAGATCCTGCAAGAAGTGAAAAAAGGAAACTGCAATATCCCGGTTAGAAGTGCGAGTTTCTGCACCTCATAATCCAGGAGAAAATTGTGGGAAGAAGATCGATTGGAAGGAGAAGAATATCCTGGCTTAGGAACCTGCGAAAATGGTTCAATGTTATGTCGTCTAACCTATTCAGGGCTGCAGCGTCCAAAATTAAAATAGCGATGATGATAGCCTCCAAAATGGAGACGGTACATGAAGAAGAAGACGTTTTTGAATGTCAGATCGAAGAAAAAAATTGGTTTCTCCAAAATCTGTTGGAATTAAGCTATGAAACATTTTGGGGTTATAAAGCAATGTTTGAAATTAGGTTATACCAAATTTTAAGATTCCAGAGTAAAGCGCTCGTTTTCTATAGATTTCTCAAATTCACTGATTTACATAGACTTTTTTGAATGTGAGATTAATGAAAAAATAATGTTTTCTCGAAAACGTATTGGAATTAAGAAATGAAACATTTTGAGGTTATAAAGCAATGTTTGAAGTTAAGTTATACCAAATTTTAAGATTAAAGAGTAAAGTGTTCACTTTTTATAGATTTCTTAAAGTCACTGATTTAACTGAATATGTGAGATTAATGAAAAAAAAAAATTTTGTCGAAAACCNTACGCCAAGGTTTATAGAACATAAGGTTACCTCATTCCCTATGCCTCTGTAGTATCGATTATTACCCCGCAAATTGACGTCACTGGTTCGATACAGTCAGAATAAAAGATAGATACGTGCCAACGTGCCTATACTGTGGTACAGTCTATATAAAATATTTAAACCTCGCATCGTGTTGTCCTTGTTTATAGATATATCTATAAACAAGGGCGTTGTGTTGTTCATAGAACCAGCTACGTCACTGACCCACCTTGCCTCTCAGAGGAGGAGAATCGGTATTGGGTAACCTTATGTTCTATAGACCTTGAGAGCAAACCACTAATTTTTTATAGATTTTTTAAAGTCATTGATTTAAATGGACTTTTTAAAATTTGAGGGTTATGAAAAAAGGATATATTTTCCAAAACGTATTGGAATTAAGAAATGAAACATTTTGAGGTTATAAAAGAATTTTTGAGGTTAGGTTATACAAAATTTTAAGATTCCAGAGCAAACAAATAATTTTTTATATTTTTTTTAAAGTAGCTGATTTATATGGACACTTTTAGATGTGATGTTATAGAAAGAAAATATTTTCTCCAAAACGTTTTGGAATTAGGAACTGAAACATTTTGAGGTTATAAAAGAATGCTTGAGGTTAGGTTATACCAAATTTTAAGATTCCAGAGCAAACCACTAATTTTTTATATATTTTTTAAAGTAGCTGGTTTATATGGACACTTTTAAATGTGATGTTATAGAAAAAAAAAATGTTTTCTCCAAAACGTTCTGGAATTAGGAACTGAAACATTTTGAGGTTATAAAGGAATGGTTGACGTTACAAGGTACCAAATTTTAACATTTTATCTTTTTACTTTTTATCGATTTTTTAAAGTCAATGATTTAAATGGACTTTTTCAAATTTCAAGTTTATGAAAAAAAGATGTATTCTCCAAAATGTATTGGAATTAAAGAATGAAACATTTTAAGGTTATTGAAGAATGTTTGAGGTTATGTTATATCAAATTTTAAGATTCTAGAGCAAACCAATAATTTTTTATATACATATACAGGGTGCCTATTATATATGAAATATAGTATATATCTCGGTAAATGTTGACTTTATAAAAAAACATTTTATACAAAAGTTGTTTAATGTTTTATTTGCCATATATAAGACTACATTCAATTGGTTTTAATTCAGAAAACAAATGAGTAACTATATGAGTATATACTATATTCCATACATAATAGGCACCCTGTATATTTTACAATAGCTGTAACGTTTAAAAACGTTTTGGAATTAGGAACTGAAATATTTTGAGGTTATAAAGGAATGGTTGAGGTTACGTTAATTCCCAAATTTTATCAACGTTATATCCAATTCTAATTTTGATTTTTGTTTTCCAATTCCGTTTAATTGTTATTGATTTTATAAAATCGTATCGCAAGAACAAATTGAGATATGATGATGAAATAAGGTGCACTCTAAAGGAAATTTTGTGGAGATTTAACACCCCATACATAATTTCTTACTTTCCATAAACATCGCTGTTATGATTTTTTAAACTTAAGTCTGCACGTTTGATTGTTGGAGATTTTAAAATTGACTTTTAAAAATCGTATCTCAAAGACGAACTAAGATATTAATATGAAATGAAGTGCACTTTAAAGCAAGTTTAGGGCAGATTTAACATCTCATAAGCAATTTCTTAATTTTCATAAACATCGCTGTTATGATTTTTTAAACTCAAGTCTGCGCGTTTTATTGTTGAAGATTTTAAAAGTATATCTTTAAACAATCGTATCTCCAAGATGAATTGAGATATTCTGATGAAATAAAGTACACTTTAAAGCAAATTTAATACCCCATAAATAATTTCTTAATTTCCATAAACATCGCTGTTATAATTTTTTAAACACAAGGCTGCGTGTAAGATTGTTGAAGATTTTAAAGTTAGGTATTTGAAAAATCTTATCTTAAAGACGAATTGAGATATCATGGTGAAATAAAGTGCATTTTAAAGCAAATCTAATGCAAATTTAACACCCCATAAATAATTTCTTAATTTCCATAAACATCGCTGTTATCATTCTTTAAAAGCAAATCTGCGCGTTTGATTGTTGAAGATTTTAAAATAATATGTTTAAAAAATCATATCTCAAAGATGAATTGAGATATTATGGTGAAATAAAGTGCATTTTAAAGCAAATTTAATGCAAATTTGACATCCCATAAATAATTTCTTAATTTCCATAAACATCGCTGTTATGATTTTTTAAACGCAAATCTGCGCGTTTGATTGTTGAAGATTTTAATGTAATATATTTAAAAAATCGTATCTCAAAGACGAATTGAGATATTATGGTGAAATAAAGTGCATTTTAATTCAAATTTAATGCAAATTTGACATCCCATAAATAATTTCTTAATTTCCATAAACATCGCTGTTATGATTTTTTAAACTCAAATCTGCGCGTATGATTGTTGAAGATTTTAAAATTAGATATTTAAAAAATCGTATCTCATACACGAATTGAGATATTATGGTGAAATAAAGTGCATTTTAAAGCAAATTTAATGCAAATTTAACACCCCGTAAATAATTTCTTAATTTCCATAAACATCGCTGTTATGATTTTTTAAGCTCAAATCTGGGCGTTTCATAGTTAAAGATTTTAAAAGCAGATCTTTAAAAAATCGTATCTCAAAAACCAATTGAGATATTACGATGAAATAAAGATCATTTGAAACCAAATATAAAGAAGATTTATCGTGCCATAAATCATTCCTTAATTTCTATATACATCGTTGTTACGATTTTTTAAATTCAACTCTGCGCGCATGATTTTCAACATATTTTTCAATATTTGTTACTGTATACGTAAATTTGGGCAACCTGAACAAGCTTTAGCTTTAGTTATTTTAAAGCAAATTTATTAATGATTTAACGTGCTGTAGATAATTTTTCAATTTCCATAAACATCGTAGTTATGATTTCTTACACCCAATTATAATGAAATAAAAACACTTTAAAGCAAATTTAGTGTAGGTTTCGATAATCAACTTCTCTTACCTTTTCTGCATGCCATGCTTGATATGTTGGATTTCTCACCACCATATCAACTATCGACGATACCAATATGACAAACATAATGAGTGGAGCCAAAAATCTCCAAGTAAACTGCCAGAAAATTCCAGGTCTAACTCCGGTCATATCGAAAATATCTTGCGTGAATTTCTTGTGTCCATAAATATAAATGACAGCGATCATTTCCATGAAAGCAACAACGACTAATCCGATGGTTCCAGCGAAAGAATCGAAAAGTTTCAGCCAATACTCCCCAGCTCCGGTTGTAAAGATCAATCCCATAAAGAAACAAATCAAACAAACCACACCGGTCAAGTACGGTTTTCGAATTCTTTTGAAAATTTCTATATCAAAAATCGTACATAACATTCCTTCCAAGATTCCAATTTGGGAACCTAATCCAAGGGAGAGTAACATCATAAAGAAAATTACCGCCCAAAATGGAGCACCTGGTAATTCGACGATTGCTTGGGTGAAAACGATGAAAGCTAATCCGGTTCCTTCGGCTGCTTGTTCTAATTCTTGTTCTAATGAACAAACATCTAATCCGTAAACTTCAGTTCTATTTATTGAAGGAATATCAGCGTATGCACGTTCGTAAAGGGAAGTACTAACATCTGTGCTTGCAATTAATCCAAGTGATGCCATCTTCATTTTATTACTATAAAAATAGACATAAAATAATAACTTGAAAACAAAATAATTACTATTGATTATATCGTTAGGAAAAGTACTGAATACAGAAGTCACGCTATAGATATTTTGGCAAGGTCAAAGAGAATGTCATCGATTTTATGTTTTAACTTAAAAATAGAAATAAAATAAGGAAATATTTCAACCGTACCTGTGAATGCATTTTTCAACATTACTCATCGCTTTAAAACCCAAAATGGCAAAGATTACAACGCTGGCATAAATCGCAGTTATTGCATTGCAAATTGACACTAAAATCACATCTCTAACGCAATTATTTTTCGGCTGATTATATGAACCAAACGCGATTAACGATCCAAAAGCTAAACCAAACGAATAAAACACTTGAGTTGCTGCATCCAACCAAACTGTTGGTTCTAAAAGTTTTTCCACCTAAAATAAAGCAATAATCAAAATTTGGAATAATCGAATTGTTTAAAAAAATTACTTTTGGGGTATACATATGAGCTAAACCAGCACTCGCCCCATTCAATGTAATTCCTCTCACAAAAAATATGGTTAAAACAATGTACGGGAACATTGAAGTAAAATAAACCACCTGTAAATAAAAAAGAGAAGCCGTATTAAGTTTATAAATCTTATAATAGATTTAAAAGTTTAAACTTACCTTTCCAGAGCTTTGAATTCCTTTCATCACAATAAAAAATACAATGATCCACGATAATAATAAACACACAACGATCCACCATTTCGGTGATCCCGGATCATCAATCGATGATGAAACATCCAAAGTGGTTCTGTACCAAAAATAAGCCGTTTCTGAGGATTTAACGCATTCAGCAACTTCCGTTCCATTCACCACCGGACAACTTGCCCAAGGAAGAGGATTCTAAATTAAAAATTATTGATTTAATTTGAATCGAAAATATGGCGTTGAGTTTTTTTTTTGTACCTGGAAACTGTTAAAAAGGTAATAAAAGCACCATGTTATGATAACGTTATAGTATAACGCTACGAAGAATGTAACCAGGCAAGAGGAAATACCAATTCCACCCAACCAAGGGTGGATTGTATTCCAAACGCCCAAGGAACCCAGTCTCATTTTTTGTCCGATTCCCAATTCGATCAAAAATAATGGAATTCCTTCCAAAATCAACATTATAAAGAATGGGATGAGGAAAGCTCCTGGAAATAATAAGAAAAAAATTATTTAAGAATTCAATTATTAAACATTATTTATTTATCTCTATTAGAAATTGCTTTGTGACAACAAATTTCGTTGTTATTATTGATTTTAAACACAGATTTTTTTTAAATCGTATCTTAAAAACGAATTGAGATTTTAAGGTGAAATAAAGTGCACCTTACAGCAAATTTAGTGCAGATTTAACATCCCATAAATAACTTCTTAATTTCCATAAACATCACTGTTATGATTTTTTAAACTCAAGTCTGCTCGTTTGATTGTTAAAGATTTTAACAGTACAACTTTAAAAATCGTCTCTCAAAGACGAATTGAGATATTATTATGAAATGAAGTGCACTTTAAGCAAATTTAATACAGATTTAAGACCCAATATATAATTTCTTAATTTTCATAAACATCGCTGTTATGGTTTTTTAAATTTATATCTGCACGTTTGATTGTTGAAGATTTTAAAAGTAGATCTTTCAAAAATCTTATCTTAAAGACGAATTGCGATATTATGGTGAAATAAAGTGCAGTTTAAAGGAAATTTAATACAGATTTAACACCCCATAAATAATTTCTTAATTTCCATAAGCATCGCTGTTATGGCTTTTTAAACTCAAATCTGCGCGTTTGATCGTAGAAGATTTTAACAGTAGATCTTTCAAAAACCGTATCTCAAAGACGAATTGAAATATTAAGGTGAAATAAAGTGCACTTTAAAGCAAATTTAATGAAAAATTTAACATCCCATAAATAATTGCTTAATTTCCATAAACATCGCTGTTATGGTTTTTTAAACTCAAGTCTGCCCGTTTATTGTTGAAGATTTTAAAAGTATATCTTTAAACAATCGTATCTCAAAGACGAATTGAGATACTACGATCAAATAAAGTGCACTTTAAAGCAAATTTATCATATAAATGATTTCATTATTTTCATAAACATCGCTGTAACCATTTTCTAAACTCAAGTCTTCATGTTTGATTGTTGCAGATTTTAAAGGTTGACTTTTAAAAATCGTATCTCAAAGACGAATTAAAGTGTACTTCAAAGGAAATTTAATGCAGATTTGACACCCCATAAATAATTTCTTAATTTCCATAAACATTGTTGTTATGATTTTTTAAACACAAGTCTGCGTGTTAGATTGTTGAAGATTTTAAAAGTAGATGTTTAAAGAATCGTATCTTAAAGATCAATTGAGATATTAATATGAAATGAAGTACACTTTAAAGCAAATTTAATACAGATTTAACACCCCATAAATAATTTCTTAATTTCCATAAACATCGCTGTTATGAATTTTTAAACTCAAATCTGCGCGTTTATTGTTGAAGATTTTAAAAGTATATCTTTAAACAATCGTATCTCAAAGACGAATTGAGATATTAATATGAAATGAAGTGTACTTTAAAGCAAATTTAATACAGATTTAACACTCCATTAATAATTTTTTAATTTGCATAAACATAGATGTTATGATTTTTAAACTCAAGTCTGCTTGTTTGATAGTTAAAAATTGTAAAAANCTTGATTGTTGCAGATTTTATAAGTAGACATTCAAAAAATCATATCTCAAAGAGGAATTGAGATATTATTATGAAATGAAGTGCACTTTAAAGCAAATTTAATACAGATTTAACACCCCATAAATAATGTCTTAATTTCCATAAACATCGCTGTTATGATTTTTTAAACCTAACCTACGCGTTTGATTATTAAAGATTTAAAAATTGACTTTTCAAATATCGTATCTCAAAGATGAATTGAGAGATTATGGTGAACTAAAGTGCATTTTAAAGTAAATTTATTGCAGATTTAACACCCCCTCAATAATTTCTTAATTTGCATAAACATCGTTGTTATGGTATTTTAAACTCAAGTCTGTGCTGTTAAAGATTTTAAAAGTGGATGTTTCAAAAATCATATCTCAAAGACGCATTGAGATATTATTATGAAATGAAGTGCATTTTAAAGCAAATTTAATACAGATTTAACACCCCATAAATAATTTCTTAATTTCCATAAACATCGCTGTTATGGTTTTTTAAACTCAAATCTGCGCGTTTGATTGTTGAAGATTTTAAAAGTAAATCTTTCAAAAATCGTATCTCAAAGACGAGTTGAGATATTACGGTCAACTAAAGTGCATTTTAAAGTAAATTTATTGCAGATTTAACATTCCATAAATAATTTCTTAATTTCCATAAACATCGCAGTTATGGTTTTTTAAACTCATGTCTGCGCGTTTGGTTGTTAAAGATTTTAACAGAACACCTTTAAAAATCGTATCTCAAAGACGAATTGAGATATTATTGTGAACTAAAGTACATTTTACGGTAAATTTATTCCAGATTTAACATCTCATAAATAATTTCGTAATTTCCATAAACATCGCTGTTATGATTTCTTAAACTCAAGTCTGCTCGTTTATTGTTGAAGATTTTAAAAGTATATCTTTAAACAATCGTATCTCAAAGACGAATTGGGATATTATTATGACATGAAGTGTACTTTAAAGGAAATTTAATGCAGATTTGACACCCCATAAATAATTTCTTAATTTCCATATGCATCGCTGTTATGATTTTTTAAACTCAAGTCTGCGCGTTTATTGTTGAAGATTTTAAAAATATATCTTTAAACAACCGTATCTCAAAGACGAATTGAGATACTATTATGAAATAAAGTGCACTTTAAAGCAAATTTAATATAGATTTAACACCCTATAAACAATTTCTTAATTTCCATAAACATCGCTGTTATGATTTTTTTAACGCAAATCTGCGCGTTTGATTATGGAAGATTTTAAAATAATATATTTAAAAAATCGTATCTCAAAGACGAATTGAGATACTATGATGAAATAAAGTGCACTTTAAAACAAATTTAATATAGATTTAACATTCCATAAACAATTGCCTAATTTCCATAAACATCGGTGTTATGGTTTTTTAAACTCAAATCTGCGCGCTTGATTGTTGAAGACTTTAAAAGTGGACATTTAAAAAGTTCTATATCAAAGACGAGTTGAGATATTATGGTGAAATAAAGTGCACTTTACAGCAAATTTAACATCTAAATAATTTCTTAATTTCCATAAACATTGTTGTTATGATTTTTTAAACACAACTCTGCGTGTTAGATTTTTGAAAATTTTAAAAGTAGATGTTTAAAGAATCGTATCTCAAAGATGAATTGGGATATTATTATGAAATGAAGTACACTTTAAGACAAATTTAATGCAGATTTAACACCACATAAATAATTTCTTAATTTCCATAAACATCGCTGTTATGATTTTTTAAACTCAAATCTGCGCGTTTGATTGTTGAAGATTTTAAAAGTAGATCTTTCAAAAATCGTATCTCAAAGACGAATTAAGATATTACGGTCAACTAAAGTGCATTTTAAAGTAAATTTATTGCAGATTTAACATCCCATAAATAATTTCTTAATTTCCATAAACATCGCAGTTATGGTTTTTTAAACTCAAGTCTGCGCGTTTGATTGTTAAAGATTTTAACAGAACACCTTTAAAAACCGTATCTCAAACACGAATTGAAATATTATGGTGAAATAAAGTGCACTTTAAACCAAATTTAATGAAAAATTTAACATCCCATTAATAATTTCTTAATTTCCATAAACATCGCTGTTATGGTTTTTTAAACTAAAATCTGCGCGTTTGATTGTTGAAGATTTTAAAAGTAGATCTTTCAAAAATCATATCTCTAAGGCGAATTGAGATATTATTATGAAATGAAGTGCACTTTAAAGCCAATTTAATACAGATTTAACATCCCATAAATAATTTCTTAATTTCCATAAACATTGTTGTTATGGTTTTTTAAACTCAAGTCTGCGCGTTTATTGTTGAAGATTTTAAAAGTATATATTTAAACAATCGTATCTCAAAGACGAATTGAGATATTAATATGAAATGAAGTGCACTTTAAAGCAAATTTAAGACAGATTTAGCACCCCATAAATAATTTCTTAATTTCCATAAACATCGCTGTTATGATTTTTTAAACTCAAATGCGCGTTTGATTGTTGAAGATTTTAAAAGTCGATCTTTCAAAAACCGTAGCTCAAAGACGAATTAAAATCTTATGGTGAAATAAAGTACACTTTAAAGCAAATTTAATGAAAAATTAACACCCCATAAATAATTTTTTAATTTCCATAAACATCGCTGTTATGGGCTTTTAAACTCAGGTCTGCGTGTTTATTGTTGAAGATTTTAAAAGTATATCTTTAAACAATCGTATCTTAAAGACGAATTGAGATATTAATACGAAATAAAGTGCACTTTAAAGCAAATTTAATACAGATTTAACACCCCATAAATAATTTCTTAATTTCCATAAACATAGCTTTTATGGTTTTTTAAACTCAAATCTGCGCGTTTGATTATTGAATATTTTAAAAGTAGATCTTTCAAACACGAATTCATATATTATGGTGAAATAAAGTGTATTTTAAAGTAAATTTATTACAGATTTAACATCCCATAAATAATTTCTTAATTTCCATAAACATCGCCGTTATGATTTGTTAAACTCAAGTTTGCACGTTTGATTGTTAAAGATTTTAACCGTAGACCCTTAAAAATCATATCTCAAAGACGAATTGAGATATTATAGTGAAATAAAGTACACTTTAAAGTAAATTTAGTGAAGATTTATCTCATAAACAATTTTTTAATTTCCATAAACATCGCTGTTATGATATTTTCAATCTCAAGTCTGCTTGTTTGATAGTTAAAAATTGTAAAAAAGAATCTTTAAAAAATCGTATCTCAAAAACCAATTGAGATATCACGATAAAATAAAGATAATTTTAAAGCAAATTTAAAGAAGGCTTATCGTGCCATAAATCATTTCGTAATTTCTATATACATCGTTGTTACGATTTTTTAAACTCGACTCTGCCCATGATTTGATCTCTTCTTTTTTTGCAATAGTTGTAACTGTGGACGTATAGAAAA